CACAAAAAGGAGGCATGAGGGAGGAAGGACGGAAGAAGGAAAATCGGAAAGAAGGGAGGGAGGGAGGGAGGGAGGGAGGGAGGAAGAAAGAAAAGAAAGAAATGCAAAAAAATTAAAAGAGGCTCCATAGAGCTATACATACCTCACTGTACAAAATCCACAAAAATAAAACAAAGTTGGTAATTGTTCAAAAGAAACTTACAAATTCATAATAACAGAGGAAATATTAATGTATTTTTCTGTGTGTGCATGTATGTGTGTGCAGGCTTGTGTGCATTCATGTGTGCACAGTTGTACATTTGTGTCCAGGTACACATGTACATGTGGGCATACATGTACATATGTGTGTGTGCTATTGAGGGCAGAGGACAACCTCAGGTGTCACCCTCAGGAATGCTGTGTACCTCCTTTGAAATAGTCATCAATTAAGTTGGACTGGCTGGCCAGCAAGCCTCAGGGATCCTCCTGTCTCTGTTTTCCCTGGCACTGGAATTACAAGCACACACTACCACAAAGGCTATTTTATGTGGGCTCTGGGCATTAAACTCAAGTCCACTGAACAATCTCCCCAGTCCCCTTAAGCTATTTTTCTCAACTGAAAATAAAGGGAGGTTAGAATGCAATAGTTAAGATAAATAATCTCACAGGAATATGATACACTAGACAAAAAAAATATTCTTTCTTGTTTGTTTTTTCTTTTCTGAGACCCAAATGGAAAAAAAGGGAAGATGAAGGAAGTCCACTAGAAAGGCATCTTCTCTCCCTCTCTGCTTCCTGGCTGCCACAAGGTGCGCAGCTCTGCTCTTGTGCCCTTCTGCCATGACACTCTGCCTCACCACAGCCCAGAAGCAACAGAGCCAGTCAGCTATGAACTGAAGCCTCTCAAACCATGAGCCAAAATTCTTCCCTCCTTTAAGCTGTTTCTGTTAGGCATTTTGTCACAGTAATGAAAAATTAACACACAACAAATCATAGGCAGGGAATGTAGAATGGTTCAGGTGAAGAAACCCAGGAAGCAGGCCCCATGTCCACACAGCAAAGGAAGGAACGTGCCTGTCACAGACACAGGCAGGGATCTGGGGAAGTTCAAAGGCACTCACCATTAAAGGAAAACCACACATAGAGGTGACACAAATCTGGCAGAATGTGACAAATTAGGCCCAGGTGTCAGTTCATAGTAACAGACTGCTGTGTTCTGTACTGTTCTGTGCTCTGGGAGTGATTCATTATTTTCAAAAGGAAAAGGAAAAGGAAAAAAAAGCCTAGGCATGCATTAGGAATGGAAACAGAACTATCTGCAGGCTAATGCTGAAAGTTCTGGAAGCATAGTAGGGGCAGCTGGCTAAAAGGGAAAGCCTTGGCTCTTTCTGTCAGTAGGGAAGCTGGGTCCACCCCCAGCCCACACTGCAACCTACAGATGCTGGAGGCTCCAGGCCACCCTGACAGACAGGACCTGAGATAGAAGGTTCTAGTCTAACCTCCAGCTCAGGATGCAGTGGGAAGAATGCTAGATGCTCCCCACCATCTCCACACACCCTCAACCCCAGAAGTCCAGTTGTCCTAGGGCAAAGCAAGAGCAGGTTCCTCCAGACGCCCTTGGGTCCTCCATATCACCACCGTCCTGGGATCTGTCAATCATCCTTTGGTGCCCATGCTGCCTCTGGGCTAGTTTCCACAAAGCCCTGTCAGAACAGGAAGCAGCGCCTAGTTTCCCCTCACAGCTGCAGACCTGGGGAGCTATGACTCCCACTCTGAGTCAGCACCCATGTCCCACTCAGGCTGGTAACAACTGAAAGGAGCTGGCATCTGGACAGAAGTAAAAAGATGCTACCAGCAGGCCAAGTCCTCAATGCCCCCAATTCCAGCCCTTTCCTGGCCACTCAGTGCTCTATGAGACCATTTCAAATCAGCCTCAGTGTAAGCATGTAGGCATAACGATGTCACATGCTACATATGTGTGTGCACACACACTTATCACCAATATCTGGGAATATTTTTTGTGTGTGACAGAGTCTCATGTATCCCAGGGCGGTGTCAAACTCACTATGTAACCAAGAATGACCGTGAACTTCTAATTTTCTTGCCCCTAACTCCTGAGTGCTGGGATTATAGGCATGTAACACTATGCCCAGTTTATGTGCGGCTAGGAATCTAACCAGAGATTCATAAATGTTGGGCAAGCATCCTACCAACTAATCTACAATCCCTAGCCCCTTACTGAGGATTCTAGGCAGGTGCTCCACCACTGAGCCACACCCCCAGCCTCTCACTGGGAAATTCTAAGTAGGTGCTCTACCTCTGAGCCACACCCCCAACCCCTCACTAGGGCAATTCTAAGAAGGTGCTCTACCATTGAGCTATATCCCCAGTCCTACTTCTACTTTTTATTTTGAGACCAGTCTCAAAATTGGTCTCAGTTAGTAGATCAGGCTTGCTTTGTACTCAGTATGTGCCTAGGCAGGCTTTGAACTTGAGATCCTCTTGCCTCAGCCTCTGAAACACAGACTACCAGGCCTTACTAGGAAATTTCCCACACAGCTTCCCAGGGTAGTTAGAAAAGGAGTGGACCAGGGGAGGTGGGGAGGGTGGTAGAGAGGATAGTAGCTGAAGCACGGAGTTGACTGGTGTCACAAGAGGGGGCAGAAACTGGGCCACACTTACAGTTGTGCCTGCTTTTCTGCTAGTTCTTTGGTTTTCTCCTATAAAGGAAAAAGTAAAAGCAAATATGAGAAAAACAGGACAACACAGGGATATGCTCAAATACACACAGTTTTGGTCCAGTGAGATGGCTTAGTAGGTAAACACATTTGCCAAACAGGCCTGAAGACCTGAGTTCAATTCCCAGAACCCACATAATGGTGAAAGGGGAGAGGAACTGTGGGGATCTGAGAACTGCTGGTAGGCTGCACATGCCTCAGTGCAGGGTGGGGCTCTGACTATGGGTAAGTAGCAAGGTGCAACTGCTCCCTTAAACATCCTTTGTTGTTGTTGAGACAGGGTCTCACTGAGTATCCCTGGCTAGCCTGGAGCTCACTATGTAGACCAGGCTGGCCTCGATCTCACAGAGATCTGTCTGCCTCTACCTCCCAAGTGCTGAGCTTAAAGGTGAGCACCACCACTCCTGGTTCTTAAACATCTTTTCAAGTTTGTTCTATGTTAAGAGGACTGAATGCACTATTTTCCTGAGCTATGGTAGTCAGGCCTGGTAGTAGAAACTTCTCTTCAGACCCCAAAACCTGACAAGATTGGTGCAGGATTTGATAGTATAATTTCACCCATCGCCTCTTGGCACTGACAATATTTCCAGAGGTGGCACTTGGCATGGCAATGCATACCTGTAATCCCAACACTTGGATTCAGGAGACAGAGGCAGAAGAGTCCAAGGTAGTCTGGGCTACATAAAGAGTTCCAAGCCAGCCTAGGCTATGAGACTCTGCCTCAAACAAGCAAACAAACAAAAATTAAGCTTTTAGGTAGGTCTCATTGTCTAGATTAAGGTCTCATGTTTCTTTTTCTTTTTCTTTTAGTCTTTTTGAGACAGGGTCTCCCTGAAGCTCCAGCTGACCTGGAACTCACTCTGTAGACCAGGCTGGCCTTGAACTCACAGAGGATCCACCTGCCTCTGCCTCCCGAGTGCTGGGATTAAAGGTGTGCACCACCACACCTGGCAGGTCTCGTATTTCTAAGAAACATATTACTTAAAAGCCTTTGTTTTACATCTTTTTAAATTAAAAAAACTTCTTCTTCTTCTTCTTCTTCTTCTTCTTCTTCTTATTATTATTATTATTATTATTATTATTATGTGTCTGAGTGTTTTGCCTGCATGTAAATGCACTTGCGACATGCAGTGCCTGCAGAGGACAAAAGAGGGCATTAGATCTCCTGGAACTGGAGTTACAGAAGGTTGTTAGCTGCCATGTAGGTACTGGGAACTGAGTAGTCAGCACCCTCAATTGCTGAACCATCTTTCCAGCCCCTTTACATCTTTGATATAAGGAATATCTTTTACATAAAAAATTATAGCTCTCCTATTTACTGGTTTCCTAATTTTTAAATTTCTTCAACAAATTTTATTGAAAAAGGGCCAAATTTAATAAATGAACAGCTAAAACAAAATTAAAGTTTGTTTTATTTTATATATATGAATGCTCTGTCTGCATGTATATAAATACATCACATGTGCCTGGTTCCCAAAGAGGCCAGAAGAGGGTATTACATCCCCTGGAACTAGAGTTACAGAAGATGACTGTTAACTGCCATGTGGGTGCTGGGACCTGAACTTGTCAAACAGGTAATTCTCTAGCAACCTCACCACCAAGCTGATCAGGGGATCAACTTGGAGACAGTTCAGGTGGTCTGCCCTAGTGAGAAGCACAGGTCACCCAGGCTGTAGTCATGATGGACTATCAGGAGGGACACAGGCAGAGCTCAGAGGTGACAGCTGACCCCACAGCAGCTAGACCCACTTAGAAGGCAATGTCCAGCCTGGCAGCCTGCTACTTGAGAGGTATAGATGGAGAGACCAGCCATTTCTCGAACCTGACTCAATGTAGGAATATTAGTGGTGGTGGTCCAGTGAGCTCCCTTGACACAGGTTCCCCACACAGCATTCCCACACATACCCAGACAGTGTCTCGGACTCTCTTGGCAATCTTGAGCAGGAGATGTCTGAAGGTGCCTGGCTCAAAGTGGGTGGCTGAGTGCTGGATGCAGAGGCAGAGCAGGAAGGCAGGGGTCAGCTTGTGGTCATCCCCCCCAGGCTCAATCAGAGTCATGATCCTCTGCAGGAGTGTGTCCTCCACATCAGGCTCAAACTCCAGGAGCAGTGAGCGCCTGCGGATCACAGCAGCAGGCATGGGGGTGGCACTGCGGGCCCGGAGTGCAGTGCCACACATCTTACAGGTCTGCGGTGTGGCCCCGAGGCGGGCCAGGGCACAGGCAGGCAGAGGTTGAGCCTGCAAGGGGTCCTTAAACAGCAGCAGGTAATAGATGCCCAGGGAGAGTAGGTCACCATGTTGTAGCACCACAGGGCTCCTTCCCACCTCTGAGAAGTTGACTGAAACGTGAGCCCCGGCAATGGGCTCCAGCACCACCCTGGTCCCAGCCTGGCCACTTTCTGAGGACTGGTGGCGCCGGATGGTGCAGTGCAGAGGCAGGATGTCGGGGGCCGACAAGCTGATGCTGGGCTTGCTGGAGGGTGTGCGCTGGCCCACTGTGTGCCGCTCCCGGCTGAGCACATACACCAGGCTGTCCTAAAGGGCAGACAGGCAGCTTAGGACACAGTGCCAGTCATGCCAGCATAGCATGGTATCCTCTGCCCCTGCAGCTGCCTCTTCCCAGGCTCTGTTCCCAGGGCTTCTCATATCCTGGGACACCTGCCCCAAAGCCACCAGCAGAACTTGGTAACCCTCCCCTGACCACCCTGGCCTGACTCAGAAGACACAGCTTCCTACCTAGAAGTGACTCAAGAGCCAGGACAGTGCTGACCTAGAAACAGGTGCTGGTCTCAAAGTCATAGGCTAAGGACTGCTGAACTCCCCAAGTCACCCCAACAAAGCAGTTGTGGACCCTGCCCCTTGGTGCCCAGGTCAACATGGGGTGTCTCTTGAGATGGAGCCTAAGAGCCCTGACACTGTGAAGGGCTCAAAGAACAGAGCAAAAAGCAAGTGATAGACACAGCAGGAGGTCACCAGGGCCGGTTCCTTTGGACCCAGATACAGAAGGGAGAAATGGCTCCGGGAGCTGATCCTGGTGGCACAGGCCTATAATCCCTGCACTCAGGAAGTCGAGGCAGGAGGATTGCACATTTAAGGCTTGCCTAGGCTACATAATTTGTTTCCTACTAGCCTGAACTACATAGGAAAACACTATCTAAAAAGAAAATGGAAAGGAAAGGGAAGGACGGAGGGCTCAGAGACTGCAGCTGCAGCCACCAAGTTGTGTTCAGTTTCTACTGTCTTTAGGACAAGAAGACCCTGGGTACCCCTAGGTGACTGTCCCTGTCCCAAAGGCTTAAGAAATAAGCTAGAAAATGGACTGAAGTCCACAGAGTCCCAGTGAGGGATAAGGTCAGTGACGACTCTTGCCTGACTGTTCCCTGCTTTACCCAGACAGAGAACACACCTCCCACCTCTATAGCCTCCTCCCCACCAGAGGGGCCTGCAGCCCTGAGAGTTCCCAGCTGCCTAAGCTGCCTCAGCTGGAGGGAGGACAAGGCCTGACCTCCCTGTCCCTGGGCTGCATGGGGTAGTAGTGTTGGGGACCAGGGGTGGCTTACATGCTGTTGGCTGTAACCCTGTAGGAGGAGCAGGTGTGGGCACTGGTACAGGGAATAACGCATGGTGTCTGGGGTGGGTTCCTCAGGGCCCTGGGTGGTGTCAGGCAGCGTGGGTGCTGGGCTCAGGCTGGTCTCGCTGACTGTGCGGCGCAGCTGGGTTGGTGGGGGACTCTGGGCAGCCTCAGAGGCAAGGGCTGGGGTTCCCTTGGCTCGGATCCGCTGTAGCCTCCGGGCTTGGGCATTTATTCCTAGAACAGAATCAGCACAGGGAAGTAGTTAAAGGCCTCAATCAAACTTTCTCACAGGTTGTCCTGACTAAATCTCACTGAACCACTGGGACACCTGTCATTGTTTTGTCAAAATAGGTCTGTCCATTGGTCAGGTCCTTTTCAAAGTCTGGGCATTGTCTTGATGATCCAAGGAGTCCCCAGGTAGTCACAGAGCAGGCAGCCCAGCTGTCCACATCCTGTGATCTTGACCTACCTCAGCTAATGGCCCTTACACCAAACCCACCAAAACACTTCTCCCCATCACAGCAGTGCCCATGCTGGGCTACAATGTCACCATGGAGCCCTGTCCACACAACTGTCCACACTGCTCTGTTTTCCCAGCCTGCCTATATGGCAGGCTCAACTCCTTGGGAACAGGATACTCTGGCTAACAGGGACAGAGCCAGTCATACACTTTACAAGAAGGAAATGGTCAAGCTGACAGTCACCCTCAGGTCAGCTTCTGTCACAGCATGGCTGACACCATGGGTCCTGCCAAAGTGTACACACATGAACACACAGTCACAAATGCACACTAATATACATGCATACAAATACACACATGCACACATACACCCACACAAAGTGCATATATAAACACACCCAAATATACATGAAACAGATACAAATGCATATATACTCATGCACAGAGTACACAGATAAATGTACACAAATATATACATGCATATATGCACACAAATGCACAAACAATAAAACACACATATTCTTCATTACACACTCCCTATACACAACACACATACAGAAACATAAACGCATGCATATGTGCTCCCAGCTATACACACATATAGACTCACATACACATACATGCACACACACACCACCCAGAAATGACACACACCCCATGAAGCACTTTAAAAGCTGCATGCTATCAAATACAGGAAATGCCCTCTAAACTCTGGCTGCTGGGAAAGCTAACCAGGATGGATGATGGAACCCTGGGGACCCAGCACAGCATTCCCAGCTGACCCCAGCATTTTCTTCCCTAAGTCCTCTGCTGAGTCCTTTCTGCGCAGCTTTGTCCCCATCTTTTCCTCCAGCCATTACAAAAAGAACCATAAAAAAAGCTAGAAGAGGGAAGCCAGGAACAGGCGGGGATGCGGGCCTTACCGGTAGCTGGTGGCTGAGCTCTGAGCTCTGCCCTTCCTTCTAGAAGGCCTCCTGCGCATCTGCAGCCCGCGGGGGGCCGAGGCTGCAGGATGGATGCAGGCCAGTAGCAGTGCCAGGCTGTGAGGCTGCTCCGCCTGCTGCAGAGTCCAGCTGGCCAGCCCAGCAAAAGGCAGGTGCCCAGCAGGTGGGGCTGGAGCCCCCTGCCTTGGCCTGCTGCCAATCTCCAAGACCTGCCTGCTGCTCAGCTTTGGACTCATTGAAAAACTGTGAAGCCAGATTTGAACAAAGAAAATGCAATCCAAAATGATGCCCTGGCCCCCAAGCATTCCCTGGATCCAGAGCTGAGTGGTGGGAGAGAAGGTGATTCCCCAGAGCCTTTCAAAGTTCTAGGGCTGCGGGAGTGGCTGAGCTGCATATAGCCTCCTGTCTAGCTTCCCAGGGCTCCCACAGGGCCTGAAGGCAACAGGGTCCTTTGTCCCACATGGGATGCTCACAGCTGACTGAAACCCTGTCATTTTGAGGAGAGACAACACTACCCTCTCAGACGTGCCTCTCCTAACCTGGGCCAATCTAATCTGCCTACCTATCAGGATGGAGACCCACACAGGAGCTCAACCTGGGACCAGGAGTCGGGGCCAGGCTCTGGCTCTGGGCAGCAGTGGTTGGATCTGCACCCAAGACCATCAGCACACAGAAACTCCAAGGGCAGGAGAGGCTCTGTAGTAGCCAGAGTGGACAGTAATCCCATCATGCCTCCTCCTCTATCCTGCTGTGTGAGATGGCCAGAGGGACGTTTGTGAACACTCATGCAAGTGTTATGCATTCTCATTCTCTCATTCTCATTCTCTCTCTCTCTGTAACAAGGTCCAGATTCCAACCTCTGTCCCTACTTTTTGTTTTTGGATATAATTTAATATGCTCCCCAAAGATTCATGTATTGAGAGCTTGGGTCCCAATGGTGATATTAGGAAGTGAGACCCTTAAGAGATTAAGAAGTGGAGCCTAGTGGGAGAATTTCAGACCAACTGAAAGTTGGCCTCAGAAGGCACTATGGGATTCCAGGCTCTCTCTCTCTCTCTCTCTCTCTCTCTCTCTCTCTCTCTCTCTCTCTCTCTCTCTCTCTCCCTCTCCCCCCCTCCCCTCCCCACACACAGAGGCACATGCCCTGCCCTAGCCCACCCAAAGGGAACACTGGATTGACGTGTGGATGCTGCAGCTGACACCCAAGGGCACATCCAGAAGAGCAAGTGGCAGGAGACATGTGGTCTCACAACACTGGCATACAGGTTCACAAGCACTGAATATGGCTCCTGGTTTGTGGGAAAGTGTACATAGGACCATCTTTTAAAGCAGAAAAGGCCTCAGTGAGTTCACAGTATGACTGTGCCCACAGGGGCTGAGGGACAAGCTAGAGAGGGAGGAAGAGGATGGAAACTAACGCTGTCATGGATGTGCGGTATTGAAGAGGAAACCTTACATACAGCGCACAACAACATGAATGTCAACTTTATCTGTAGTATTTTTCTATTTATTTGTGGATTTCATTTTGTTTTGGTATGTGTATGCGTGTGTGCGTGTATGCAAGTAGACCAGAGGACAACATTGGGTGTCATTCTCAGGCACTGTCCACCTAGCTGGGTTTTAAAATTCTTTATTATTCTGGGTGTGGTAGTACACACCTTTAATTCCGGCACTCCGGGGGCAGAGGCAGGTGGATCTCTGTGTAACAGAGGCCAGCCTGGTCTACATAGTGAGTTCCAGGCCAGCTGGGACTACAGGAAGACCCTGTCTCATGCATGGCACCTGACTTTCTCTTGAGTGCTCAGATTCCAAAACTAAACTCCATGCCTGGCTTTCTTATCTTTAAAAACATCTAAACATGGTAGAAAGTCCTTACCTGTCAATTCCTAGAGGCAGGTATACAGGTGTCCTTACCCTTTTCCTTATGCTTTACTTTTTAGGGTTTGATTTTCTCAGAGAGGGTCTTCCTACATAGCCCAGACTGGCCTGCAACTCACAATCCTCCTTCCTCGGCCTCTTTCATGCCAGGATTACAGGCCTGTGCCACCACACCTGGCACCTTTTGGTCTTTTTGAGACAGGGTCTCTCTGTAGCCCCAGCTGTCCTGAAACTCACTTTGTTCTTTTAAATATATTTTATTATTTTTATTTTATATGTGTGAGTGTATTGCCTGCATGTATATAAATGTACCAATGACATGCAAAGTTCATGAGGTCAGAAGGCATTGAATTCCCCTGGAACTGGAGTTATAGACAGTTATTATCCACCATGTCGGTGCTGGGAATTGAACCATGGTCCCGTCCAAGAGCGTCCAGTGCTCTTAACTGCTGAAACATTTCTCCAGCCCCCTTTCCTTTCTTTTTTTAAAAAAAACTTTTTAGTTACTTATATTTTATATGTGTATTATTGCCTGCACATATTTGGGTGTACCATATGTGTGCAATGCCCATAGAGGTAAAAAGAGGTCATCAGATCCTCTGGAACTGGAGTTACAGACAGTTGTTAGATGCCATGTGGTTGCTGGGAACCAAACCCTGGTTCTCCATAAGAGCAGCCAGTACTCTTAACCACTGAGTCATCCCTTCAGCCCCCTGACTCCTTTTAAAAAGTAACAATCATGGAAGTCTTACAGTTCTACAGGCCTTTCACCTGCAAAGGACTTTCTGACTTGTTCCCTCCCTGAGACAAGGCCACAAGAGGCAAGGCCCCAAACTACAAGGTCAGAAAGGCCAGTTCTGAGGGCCTTTGATTCCCTGAATTCTTGGAAACAGAGCTGCAGTCACAATGCCAGTGTCCCCATGGGCCTCAGCACTGTGTACCAGTTCAGATCCACCTCTGCCCATTGACCATCCCACGTGGCCTCTGGGCTGAAGGCGAGCAGGGGCCAGTGAGCTCACATCATAAGTCAGTTTTGAAGCTGTGGAGAGCATGGCTTGGTGTCATGTCAAGGCTAGACATTCCCTGAAGCTGCTGAGGGTCTCAGACCTGATGTTACATGACCCAGGCAGAAATCAGGGAGTTGGCAACCAAAGGAACAATCTTGTCCTGAGCTCACACACAGGTCAGGTCTCATCCAAGAATAAGGTCACTCCAGGTCCCATCCACAGCCAATCAGGGAACTTTGCCAACTTGTGGACAATACCTCAGAGAGGACTGCTATTTCCCACATCCTAACCCTAGACAGGCCAAGTGGCAAGTGGGTCAAAGGCATATGGTGATTTTAGACGGGAAGTCATGCTTCACCAATAAAAATGCCAGGCCTCGCTGTGTGTGAAGGAGGCAGGTCTGGAAGCTCAGAAGGTGGGATATAGACATCTCTTCCTGCCTCTCCCTCAGTGATAATCCTAGCCAAGGCCCCATTTCTCAGGGACCACCAGGTTTCTGTGACCAAGTACCTGATACAAACAACTTAAGGGAGGAATGATTTAATTTTTGGTTCACAGTTGCTGCAGATCTGCAATTCATCATGAAGGGAAAATCAATGACAGAGCAACTCAGTCTACAGTGGTGGGAGCATAAAGCAGCAGCTGTTTACATGGCAGGGGCTAGGCAGGGAACACAGGCCAGAACCAGGAGAGGGTACACCCCTGCTGACCTACTTCCTCAAGCTGAGCTCCACCTAAAGGCTCTACAGCCTCACAAACAGAGCCACCAGCTGGAGAACAAATGTTCAAAACAGGAGTCTGGGCTGGAGAGATGGTTCAGTGGGTAAAGGCACATGCCACTACGCCTGATGACCTGAATTCTATCTCCGGGACCCACAAGGTAGAACCAACTCCCTCCCACAAGTAGTTCTCTGATCTCCTTATATGTGCCATGGCAGTGAGCAT